CTCCGTTTTGAAAGGGGGCCGCCAACCATCCGTATCACTGTTGCACAATGTCACGCGCCGGGCCATACGGCTGGGAAGGTCTCAAGCGAGAGCCAGGTGTTGAAAACAAGTCGCTCTTCAATGTTGCAGTTGCAGTGCATTTTGCATGTCGAGTCGCACAGGAGCTTCAAGCCGAGAGCCCAATATCATAAGGAAACGCCCTACATGCTTGTGAGGGTGAGATTTGTTTTTGCGCCGACAGTGTGCGGCGCTGAGTCGAGAGCCGTTTTTTTTGTGTGTGTGTGTGTGGCGCTAGAGCGAGAGCCACATTTCAGAATCGACCCGCCTTTCATCTTTGCGCCAGTTGGAAATTGTTCAAACGCATCTGCGCGGCGCTAATGCAAGAGCCACTTTTTGAAAAGGAGCTCCCATCCATGCTTGTGACTGCCGAGATTTTGTCAGGACGAATCTGCGCGGCGTCGAGGCGAGAGGCACATGTTGGAAACCACCTGCCCTCCATCCGAGTGACTGTTGGGATTCGATAGACCCAGGGCCCTAAGTGTGATGAGGTCGTAATGGAAACGTATGGACCGCCCTACCGACCAGTCTGATAGTGCGACGAGGAGGAGTTATTGATAATTGAGCCCGCAGAGGGGGAGACACGGCGGGTCCCCCAAGGGGAAGCTTGCATGTAGATTTTGCGGCTCGTGGGTGTTAGGGGTATTGCCTCGACGAGGAGCAGTACCAATCGTTGGGGCCATGTTGACGTACCGTGGGGGTTGAATGTTCAATGCGCCATCCGAGGCAGATTGTCGAGGATGTGTCGAGCGAAACGGTCATTATTGAGACTCGGGGTCTCCTCCGAGGCTTGCTTGTCGAGGTAGTCCCTAGCGGAACTGCCATTTTTGAAATTCTGAGTCCTTTCCGAAGCCGAGTTATCAAGGATGTCCGGAGCGAGACGACAATTTTTGCGATTCAGAGTCCCCTCCGAAGCCGATTTGTCGAGGACATCCCATGCGAAACGGCCAGTTGAGGCCATGGGAGCACGTTTCTTTAGCATTTCCAAGCCATCTTGTGGTATTGGGTGTTTGTTTTGAAGAGACAGCGCCCCACGTCCCTCACTCCGTCCTCCTCCCTCCTCCTCCTCCTCCTCCTCCTCCTCCTCCTCCTCCTCCTCCTCCTCCTCCTCCTCCTCCTCTTCCTCCTCCTCCTCTCCTCCTCCTCCTCCTCCTCCTCCTCCTCCTCCTCCCTCCTCAATCATCACCAGCATTAGCATCAGGATCAGCATCATCATCATCATCAGCATCAGCATCATCATCAGCATCATCACCATCACCATCATCATCACCAACAACGAGATCATCATCATCATCATCATCATCATCATCATCATCATCGTCATCATCGTCAGCATCGTCAGCATCGTCATCGTCATCGTCATCAGCATCATCATCATCGACGTTCCTCTCCTCCTCAGTCCTTCCCCCCATTACAATCATGTTCATCATCAGCATCATCATCGTCATTGTCATCGTCAGCATCATCATCATCATCGTCATCAGCATCGTCATCATCATCAGCAGCATCATCTTCATAACCATCAGCATCGTCATCGTCATCATCATCACCCTCTCGTCATCATCAGTATCACTATCACCAGCATCATCATCGTCATCGTCACCATCATCGTCGTCATCATCATCAGCATCCATATCATCATCATCATCTTCATCATCATCATCATCATCATCATCATCATCACCATCATTATCATTATCATCATCATCATCAGCATCATCATCATCATCATCATCATCGTCATCATCATCATCATCGTCGTCATCATCATCATCATCATCATCATCATCATCATCATCATCATCATCATCATCATCATCATCATCATCATCGTTTTCGTCATCGCCATCGTCATCGCCGACAGCGTCATCATCATCAATACCCCTTCTTCTGCTCTCCGCTGCTCTCCGCATGTCATCCCTCATACGATTCGTGGCCTCCATAGGGAGCTCTACCGAAGGCCCCAGTGGCACCGCCTGCATGTGTCACCCCCACGCAGGTTCAGCGCTTCGTGGCTCCATAGAGGTCTCTACCGAAGGTCCCAGTGGCACCACATGCATGCGTCACCTCCACCCAGTACAGCGTTTCATGGCCCCACTTGGGGGCTCCTCCGAAGGCCCCAGCGGCACAGCCCGCATGCGTCACCCCCCGCCCAGTACAACGTGTCGTGGCCATATACGGGTCCCCACCGAAGGCCCACTGGTACCGCCCGCAGGCGTCACCCCAACGCAGTACAGCGTTCCGTGGCCTCATAAGGATCTCCACCGAAGGCCCTAGAGGCACCGCCCGCATGCGCCCCCCCCCCACCCAGTACAGCGCTTCGTGGCCCTATAGGGAGCTCCACCGAAGGCCCCAGCGGCACAGCCCCCAGTGGCGGTGCCCGCATGCGATTCACCCACCCAGTACAAAGCTTCGTGACCGCATAGGGGGCTCCACCGAAGGCCACAGTGGCAGTGTCCGCATGCGTTTCCCTACCCAGTACAGCGCTTCGTGGCCCCATGGCGAGCCCCACCGACTGCCCAAGCGGCGGTGCTCGCATGCGTTTTCCCTCCCCCCCCCCCGCACACACACTGCAGCGCTTCGTGGCCCCATAGGGAGCGCCACCGAAGGTACCAGTGGAGGTGCCCGCACGCGTTTCACCCACCCAGTACAGCGTTTCGTGGCCCCACATGGGGGCTCCACCGAAGGCCACAGTGGCGTTGTCCGCATGCGCCTCCCCACCTAGTACAGCGCTGCGTGCCCCCATAGAGAGCTCCACCGAAGGCAGCTGTTGCACCGTCCGCATGCGACACCTTCACCCAGTACAGCGCTTCGTGGCCCCAGTGGCGGTGTTCGCATGTGTTACCCCACACTGCAGCGCTTCGTGCCACCATAGGGAGCGCTCCACCGGAGGCCCCAGTGGCGGTGTTCGCATGCGTCCCCCCCCGCCCAGCACAGCGCTTCGTGGCCCCATAGGGAGCTCCACCGAAGGCCCCAGTGGCGGTGTTCGCATGCGTCTCCCTCGCTTAGTACAGCGCCTCGTGGCCCCATAGGGAGCTCCACCGAAGGCCCCACTGGCATGGTTCGCATGGCGGCCCCGTTCAATTTCGGCACACCCCTCACACTCTTCGTGGCCCATATGGAGCGCTACCGAAGGCCCCAATGGCTGCACTTGTATGCGTCCGCGCCCCATTCCGATATACTTGTTACACGCTCCGTGGTATCATATAAACCCACCGAAGGCGATACTCACAACGGCGACGCTCACAACTGCATATGTTTGGACCCTTCGCCCAGATAATTTGATGTTTACGTTTCCTCGGATAATCGAAAATGCCAATCGTCAGCTCAACAGTTTACAGGGATGGAGGGTAAGTGGTTTCTACATGCGCCTTTCGCCTTAGCTCCGCGCACCTTTTTTTCATGTTTCCAGCAGCTACTTGGATGGATGCTGGCTCGTTTTCAAGCTTCTGCTCTCGCCGGAGGCTTCCTCAAATTCTACGACCCGAATTTCTTAAGTGTGCAACAGCTACACAGATGGATGGCGATTTCTTTTCAACATGGGGCTCTCGCCGCAGGTTGCCGCGAATTTCATGGCCAGAATTTTGAAGCCGTGCAGCGCCTACAGGGATGGGGGACAGATCCTTTTTCAAACGGAGCTGGGGAAGGACACTCGCCCGAGCTTTCTCATCCTACCTTGTTGCGTTTCTTTCAGCTAGAGTCGGGGCCCTGGAGAAGGAACCCTTTTCGTTGGGGAGGGGCTCGGTGTTCCTTAGTTGTTTTGCAGTTCGCCTTTGGTTTTGCTTAGGTTTTCGATGGGAAATCGAAGTTTAACTTCTCGAGAAGAGGGGCCTCGTTCCTTATTTAGGGTTCCTTAGGTCAAGTCCCCGACTGTAGAGGGGGGGAGGTGGATCCTTGACACAGGGGGGTCTCGCGTGCGTGGCAGGCCGCAGGACCACCTGGCGATCTTCTTTTTTGGGGGGAGGCTCTTCCCACAGCGGACGTGGGCACTCGTCGGGACTTCTGAGGTACGGAAGGGCGTGCTGCATACAGTGGGGGCGTGTGCCAAGAAACCAGTTGGATTTTGCCAGGGTGCCCTGGGTTTCTTGGATTTCGAGGGGCTCCCAATCAGATCTTGACGATTTTCGATCGACACGTGCGGATTTTCACCGAACAAAACGCGGATTTCAGGGTTGGGTTTCTTGCGGAGGTTTCCTGTGACCAAGCCCCCACTGTAAGCGGTTACGCATGTTGCGTTTACTCGAGGCCTCCTCCTCCTCCTCCGCCTCCTCCTCCTCCCCCTCCTCCTCCTCCTCCTCCTCCTCCGGGACTTCTGAGGTACGGAAGGGCGTGCTGCATAAGCGTTTACGCATGCTGCGTTTACTCGAGGCCTCCTCCTGCTGCGATTTTGATCGCCCTCGCCCACGCTCCGTGCGCATGTCGTTCCGAAGTGGTGTCGCATGGTCTGCTCGCCGAGTCGCGCGGAAGAGAGCGGCAGCGGGGCCGCGCGAGAGCGGGCGAAAAGCCGGCCTCCCAGACCCCCTCGAGTAATGAAAAAATCATGACGGGAGGTTTTTCGCTATTTTCGGCCTCTGGGGGCCCTCACCGGGCCTCGGGAGCGTCAAAAAACGACTCAGGATGACAAGCCGGTCCCGGGGAAGGGGTCCAGACCTCTGGGCGTCGACGTCGTGAAAAAATCACGACGTCGGGGGTCTGGGCTCGCCCAAGCGCCGCGCAGCTCGTAAGGGAACGCGGAAGTGTTGCGCCGCGAAGTTGTGCCAGAGCTGCTTCGTATGTCATGGGAGGGAGTGCGGGAAGAGGCGGAGACCCCTCCCCCCCCATCTTCCCCTCCTCCCCCTCCCCCCTCCTCCCTCCTCCCTCCTCTCCCCTCCTCCCTCCTCCCCCTCCTCCCTCCTCCCCTCCGCAGGGGGACGCGGGGGGAAGGCCGGCTGGTGCCGGCGCAGGCCTCGGGCCCCTCCCGCGTGCTGCAGGGCGGAGCTGGACCAGACCCGGAGCCGCCTGTCCGCGGAGGCGGACGGGGGCGTCAAGGCCGTGAAGGCTGCGCCAGCGAGGGGGGGAGAGGGCAGCGAGGGGGCCGCGAAGGGCTGCAACGGGGCCGCGAAGGGCAGCGACGGGGCCACGAAGGGCTGCAACGGGGCCGCGAAGGGCAGCGAGGGTGCCGCAGAGGGCAGCGAGGGGGCCACGAAGGGCTGCAACGGGGCCGCGAAGGGCAGCGGAGCGGGGCCGCGAAGGGCAGCGAGGGGGCCACGAAGGGCAGCGAGGGGGCCGCGAAGGGCAGCAACGGGGCCGCGAAGGGCAGCGGAGCGGGGCCACGAAGGGCTACAACGGGGCCGCGAAGGGCAGCGGAGCGGGGAGATGGGGGAGAGGGGAGGGCCGAAGAGGACGCCACAGACATAAACTCTTGGCGCTCCGCGTGGATTTCTCGGATCCGCGCTGGCCCCCCCCCTGGCGGCGCCTTCGACGCCGCCCCTGGCGCGCTCCGCGCGCCAGGGAGGGGTGGTTCAGCGCAGATCCAAGAAATCCGCGCGGAGCGCCACAAGTTTATATTGATGGCGTCTTTTCCTTCTTCTCATATGGGTAAAGGGAGAGGGCAGGCTAAGTGCGCGCGCGCCTTATCTGACATCCCATCCCTCCCCCCATCCCTTCCCATGGCATCGGTGTTTCGCTATCTTCGGACGCGTGTCATAGCCGATCCGTAACTCATGCGCAATCGGAAACGGGGAGCTGCGTGTACAGGGGAAGGAGGAGGAGGTGGCAGGTGAGCAGGAGGATGAGCGGAAGGAAAAGGACGAGGACGAACAGCAGCAGCAGGAATTGGAGCGGACGGAGCGGAAGGAACAGGATGACCAGGGGAAGGCGGAGGTGGGGAAATGAGGGGGGCGACAACCATGAAACCAAAAAATCGGATCCAGAATAGCGGCCCGCGCTGGGGCGAGAGCGCCATTCTGAACGACGGGAACAAAGCGCCGATCCGAAAATGAGGCCCACGCTGCAGCGGGATCTCTATTTCGAAGCACCGAGAACAATTGTACTGCTCTTTGTTATAGAAGATATGATCAGCATAAGTCTCGACGTCCTGTATATCCAAGACAGCACGCGGAGAGGGCCCGGCATCTTCCGAACGGAGTCCGGGGAACAAGGGACATTGTATTCATATTGCTTAATTGTGAACGGGAAGGGGATGGAGATGGGGGAGCAAGCGGGGTCGTACTCGTTGTGCTGAGAGGGTCCTGAAGCGCCTCGGGCAAGATTCTGTTCAGCGCACCTGCTCGGAAGGTCGACACACGGCGGGAGGTCCTTCCCCTGGAAAAGGCTCCGAGGGAGAGAGTGAGGTAGGGGCACGAGGGGGATGATGGGGGGGTGGAGGGGGGGATGGAGGGGGAAAGGGCAAGCGGGAATGGGGAGCGGAGGAAAAAGGGGGCTGAAGGAGGGCGGGGGGAAGTGGAGGGATGGAAGGAGGGCAGAGGGGGAATCGAGGGTGAATGGGAGGAGCGGTAGGATCGGGAGGGAGAGAGAGAGAGAGACAGAGAAAGAGAGAGAGGGAGCGGGATGGGCACAGGGAGCGCTCCACGCCGCCGCCGTCCCGGCAGGCGCTCGGCGAGATTGAACAGGAGGCGCGGCCCCGCACAGAACACAGGTAGGCTCTGGGGCAGTGGGGCCTTCGTAGTGGCTGGGAAGCGGGAGAAACGAGGAGGAAAGGGAGCAGGAGGAGGAGGAGGAGGAGGAGGAGGAGGAGGAGGA